TCATACAAAAGTCTCATTTAATAAAAACTTTGATTTATGAAAACCTCGCTATATCAAACTCTTCTTATCCTCGTTATACAAACATTTCATTATATACAACCCTTGTTATATGGAAATCGTGTTTTATAAAAATATCATTTTATGGAAATCGCATTTAATAAAAATCTCAATATATGAAAACTTCTTTATATGGAAATTGATTAAAACCTCTTTAAATGAATTGCTCCTTACACAAAAATATTGTCTTATAAACGCAAAGAAAATGATATTTTCGTTATACAAAAATCTTGTTGTAAGAAGATCTTGTTGTATGGATATTTTATATTATGAAAACTTCGTTATCTTTATCTTTGTTATCTTGTCTCTATGTAAAAAGACATTTGGAAGCCTTATTATATGTAAACCTTGTTATACGGAAAATACCTTATACGGAAATTTCATTTTTTAGAAACCCAGTTATATGAAACCTTTTAGGGATAGACCTACATACAAAAATTGGTATAATATTTGTGTATACCAACAATGTTTAAAGAACAGAAAACCTTTTACTTAATTCATAAAAGGAAGTATCTAAAATAATATCGATGGGCCACTCGAATATATGAAGGCATTAAGTCAGGCTAGACATGCCCTAGTGATTCTGTTGTAGAACATTTGTATTGTTGCTCGAAGAGAAGACACCGAAACACTTGCTTTGTTTATGTCAAGTTTTATATAGAATCAATCTCAAGCTTCAGGGTGTCCCATTTTTTAATTTAATGCGATATTTGTAACATTTGTATTGGCCAGATACTTGCATAGATAAATGCGTCTGCCCAACTTTCTACTCATAATTACGATTAACATGAAACTGCAATGACTTTCTTAGCTATGTGAGAAAGGTTCGAACCTCTTTCCATTTCACCTACCTAACTACATAGGAACCCACATTATAGTGACACCTAATTATATGAAGAGGGAATATAGCCTACCTATAAGCTATCACTACGGGTGCGATACCCTGATTAAACAAATTAAATTAAATATTTAAATTAAATTAAATTTTAATTTAATATTTTGCAATAATAATTATTAACTAAATTTATAATTATACATTCTAATATGATAAATAAATATCATTACTCATAATCTTACACTCCAGCATATACATATATGTACATACATATGTATATGTATATTACTTAAGCTCGTAGTTGGTGGTCTGAAAAATGCATAAAACAATTAAAAAAATAAAAACAAAAAAAAACTGTTTACATTTTTATTTACTAACACAGCTTGATAAACATTCGATCATACAAATATATCTAATCCCTCAACAACAGTAGTTATTTGTAAATAAAACCAAGTTTTACGTTTTATCGAAAAGTCTTGCTCCTTATCGCTTACTTGAATTTTTCTGTCCAGTAAAGAATATAAATATTTATACAAAGCCTCACAATACTGAATCTTTTGCTGGTATATGCAATTATATACACAGGGATCTAGATACATTATTTAAATGCAAACGTAAACAATTATTTGATTTCTAAACTCAATTTTTCATAATTTTATTACTGTCTGGTTTTAAAAAAGTCACGCACTTTATTTTATAATTGTTAAGATTGTATTTCATCATCCAATCTGCTATGTATGTTAATCTTATTGGAAGAAACAGACGTTCAATTAAAAATCGAATTCTAGAGAATTCTATAAACAAATTGCTTTCAATGCATACCCACAACGACTCATAAATCCAAAACAGAACAGAGATATATTCGTTTCAAATTACAAAATAAAAAATAAAGACGTGTAACTAAAACAATAATTAAAGTTTAAGATAAAGATAATTATTAGATTAGATAATTATCTTTCAAATAATCAAAAAGATAAAGGAAAATTCCTATATATTTCCTCCTAAAAATTGCTCTCATGAATTTTCTAGGAATTAAAATGCAGATATTCTTATTGTTTTATGGAAGTATAGTAATGCCGTTTAGAACCTTATCTTGCATATTTCGGATAACTATTTTGGTATTTACTGGCTTTCCTATACTATATAGCCTATGCTAAATATATATATTTCTTTTTAAATTATTATTAATAATATTAATATTAGATATATACAAGTCAGCTGCTCCAACTAAAGAGAGATCTGCTCAGTGCTACGGTATCGGTGCTGACGGGTCATTGTTTAATAGGGAGGCATGCTATGAGACTGGGTCTTCCTTATAATGACCTTTGTCGCGGTTGTGGCTCTGAGGACGAGGAGGAAACTGTGTTTCATCTCATGTGTCAGTGCCCATCTTTAGCCAGAAGAAGATCAAAAATCTTGGGGGCCCCTTTTCTGACCGATCTGACTGATCTCTCATCCTACAATGTGAGGGACCTAGCTAGATTCATAGAACTGTTTTCTTTCACCTAATGGGGGAGTCGTTGCCTCTCTGTTGGGCGTTGGTCGTATACAGATCACCTTATCTATATACGAACATCGCTCTTTCCTTGTGGTACCACAACGGGCCTTTATTTGTGCTTAAGTGGGCTTTTTCTTGGTAAAAAGGGCCGCCACTCCAACCAACCAACCATATTAGATATAATTATTTTATTTTGTTTATTTAGTTTGCTTAGTTTCTTAAGCTCAATACTGTGGAGTGTTCATATATATTTACTATCTTCAAGTAGTTTCGAAACTCTTTCTCTCACATGTTTTTATTTCTAGATACAATATATGTGAATGTTTATAAATTTTACACATATTATATTGAGTATTATGGCATTAATAGTAACTTCTCATTTCTTAAAGTAATAGAGAGGTTTTCGAACAGAAGTGAAACAACAACAAAAATATATTTTTAAAATTTTTTTAATTAATTTAAAGTAATAGCTTAATAGAACAATGTGATTTTTCTCAAGATTCTGACAGCCTCTGCAGAATACTTAATACATGAATCATCCACATATACAGATAATATTCAAATAATAAAAATAACTATCTGAACTTGTACTCATCGGTAATTTGGTCTCGTTGTCGGTGTGGTGGCCAAGATGTTTTTCGATATTTTCGACCATTGCAAAGCAGATGAGCTAACCAGACGAGGTGCTTTAGAAAACCACTTGGAACACCTGAATAATCTGAATATATCGTTGACGTCATGCAAAATTGTATTGAGTTCTTCCTGTGCCGAATTTTATAGTAAAAGATGGGAAGACTCTATGATATGCAGGCATCTGTATGCAATTTGGCCACACATCAACAGAAGAAAATCAAACTCTCTCATAGAAATGCTTCGTAGAGATATAAGTCTTGCAGTAGATTTACTTACAGGTGATTGTGTTCTAGGTAAATATACTAGGAGATTAAATCTCCCTTTCAACCATATCTGCCGCAGTTGTGATGAGGACGATAAATGTGCCTCCCACATGCATTGTTTCTACGGTACATTTAATTTCAGTAATTAAATAATATATAATATTATAGGTATATAAATTCAAAAAATATTTGAATTTTATTGATTTTCTATGATTTTTAATTAATACAAGTGTTGTAATATATAGAATATGAATCACTTGTGTAAAAATTAGAAAGGAAAGAAATAATGATAACATAATAAATGAACTTCTACAATTGCGATAAGAGCTGACTAATATTTTTATATATATATATATAAGCAAACAAAATATATATATATTTTTAAATTTTATAAAGTTTTAGACATTTTTAAACACTATTTGATGGCAGTATCGAATAACTTTCAAACTATAGCGTTGTTATACAGTATAATATATAATATATATATTACATACCTATTATATATTAATATAATATATTATATTATAATATAATATTATATATTTTATATAATTATATATTAATATAATATAATATATATATGTTATATGTAGATTCGGGAATAATATAACAGAATAAAAAACCGCATATTATTTTTATATATCATTGAAATAATAGAAAATTGAGACTAAAATAATAAGTATTAATCAGTTTATAGGAAACTTTAAATATCTAAATCTAATAATTTATATAGTGAAAAGTGGATGAAGTAATGCTATAGTTTGATGATATATAGGTGTACTTACTCTGCGGAAAATTTTGCCATTATTGATAAAAATATTTTCATATAATTTTATTGAAACATTTTGAAAGAAAAAACTAAACATTTATTTTTCAAAAAATTGTCAAAAATTGGAATTAAAAAGCAACCATCGGGACTACGATATTTTGTACGACAATAATGACCCAAAACATAAGTGTGTTTGGATAATTCTTCACTCAAAACAGTTATAAACATCATTAGGTGAATATGTTGTCGTCATCAATTCGGTAGAGGTAAATATCAAACACGAGGAGTTAGCTATTTTAATAAAACGTTTGTTTAGTACATATTTAGCCTTATGGACGTCGAAACAAATATTAGGATTTCTCAATTTAAAAGCACGATGGAGATCAACAAAACGTTTCATATGAATACGCTTATGTTAACTTTTTGAATAGCGAATCAAATAACATCTAATTTCAGTTCTATTTAATATTTCATCATCAATATATATAGCTCAAAAAAATTATTAAAAAATAATGAATACAAATGATCTAAAATAAGTATGTAGAAATGTTGTTTACAAATTATAGTGCTGCAGTCTAAAAACCAAAAAATGAAGTAAATATATATAGCTGTAATTTATACGTTTCTTCTAATAAATATCGCAGAAAGTGCAATAGTTGTAACGTTAACTTTTTGTGTTAACACACGGGTCCACGGTTCAAAATTGACAGTGCTTAAGTTTCTGACACTTGTCTTTCATAAATTATATACTTCAGCTAATAAATTTTTTCAAAGATCACTGATGATGGCTATTTGATAATATCCAAAAATCCGAAACCGCTTTGTGGTCACCTCAAAAGTTTTCTTGATTAAAAAAATTTGTTTTGGAATTAAAAAATTCCTCACTATTGCTTGTCATACAATATAAAATTCTTAATTAAAAATGAAGTTCATATATGGCGCTAGGCCTAAACTTTATTGATCTGTTGTACACTTTAAGATAAGTATACACGTGTATTCATTTTAATATTTATTTCGTATAATACGTTTTTAATTGAACTGTAATCATTCTTTTGGAATTAATATTCATATTTGAATTTTAAATAGTCCCATAACCTTTCTGCTGATTCCAAATAATCCAGTTCGTTGAACACCTCATCCTCGATCAAACACAGAAGAATATATCTGGCACGACTTTCTTTTCGTAGCCCCTAAGAAAAAAAAACTTAATACAATGCTTGATTGCTTTAAATTTTTAAATGGTTTTCTTACCGCCCTATCAGACGGTGTGCTTTGCACAACATTCCATAAGTCTTCTGATTCAAGATAAGCGCGAACAGTCATGGACCAAATTCTGTAGTTAGCTGGACCTTTTAGTTTTGGAATTTGAAGTTGCAACGACATTTTGCCCAACTTCGTAAAGCCACTATATTGAACTGAAGGCGAAAGCAAAAACCATTAAAAGCAGAAAGACAGAAGTCGTCATTAACTTTTAGTTTTACTCATAAATCGCTAAAATTACTCACTTTGTTTTTGAAATGCATGTTTATTCTTGTGGGAGATTATTTTTTCATACACAATAACAAAACAATATCAAAGAGGTTATGTAGCCCTGCTGGAAATATGACAGACTAGTCTGTTTCGGACTACTTCAACTCAACTCGTAGCGACCCAATCTGTTAAAAGATTTCATTTCAATATTTATGTATTAATATTAAATATTTTATATTTCAGTTATTAATTTTTTGTTTTATTTTAATTTATTGTTTTGCAAGGTAAGTACAATATAAAATTATGCAAGTGTTCTGATTTATTAATCAATTGACTTTGTTTCAACATACAAACACTTATGCATAAACATACACCCAATATACCCGGGTGTGTATTTACAAAAACTTTAAGTAACATAAACGGGTTAAAAACCAAACATATTATACTTGCACACATCCGGATATATTATATGTTGATCACTGCTGTAAGTTTTAAATGCACATTATAGGATCTGAAGGGTCTGACCTGATCTGAAAACTACTACTACTGAAACCTTCAAGTCGATACGACACTTAGAATTCAAGAAATATCAATTTACAAATGACAAAAAAAAAAACTTGTATATACGTTAATACGTATATACTCAAAATGTAAATTTCAAGTTTATTTTATTGTCTGTAATAGAGAGGATAAAATTTGGCAATATACAAGTTGAACATTGGTACTTGCAACCCCCAATAAATGTTTCACGAATAATAATATATAAAAAATAATTACATTATTTAATATAATTAAAAATAATTACTGATGGATGTGTATTTGGCAATAGACAAAAACTGTATGATCAGCCAAAAATTTAATTAATTACAATAATAAAATTTTTCGTTGTTGTAACTTACTCCTGTTCGAAACATACCAAAAAAACTTCTATCCACTAACTAGTTCGTATGGACCAGTTAATAAATAGTTCAAAAAATATACGGAACTACTAGACCATGTATCCATAAAACGAACCAGGCTTAGACTACCTCTTGTTCGTTAATTAATAGTCTTTGACTAGTTCGACTTTCTACAGGGACATTTTAAGAAGATATCTCTCAGCAGAGCGAAGACTTTTTTAAAACAAAATCAAGATTAGAATAGATTTGATAAGGTATATGAATATAATATAAAGATAATCAATACTTAAACGAATTTATCAAATTTCAAATTTATCAAATTTATTTGTGTAAATTTTTCGTGTTATTAAAAGCAACAACAATTTTGATTTTGACGGCCCGTGATACTCCACATATCATGGATCTAAGAAGAATTAAGTTTGTCATGTGAATGTAAATACACAGAAGTTACGGGACCTTATCCTGTCGATGAAAAAAAGTCATATAGCAATGGATCAAAAACCTTTGTGTAAAGAGAGAAAATTGAAAAAATACAACAACGTTAATGAGAGTAGCAGTGAGTAATACTCAATACCGATTGCGAGAGTTAATATTCATTAAATGCTCAACCATCTGAAATGGTTATATATGTGTGTGTTTTTTTTCAAACTCTCTTATCATCTTCTGACGCAAAACACCAAAAATTCTTCCGTTCTCACTCAAATATTTGTTCTTCCCCCTCTGTGCTCAAACGTATTGTACCAGAATTATTATAGTTATTCTTGCAGTATTGCAGTATTTTACAGAAGTAACTTTGATTGTCTCTAACTATTCGCATTTTCCCCTCAAATATCTGATTGCAGCTGTTCTAAGAGCAAATATGTAGTGTGAATGCACACTTTAGGTTCTTTCTGTAAGAAACCTTACGTTTGTAGTCTTGTATAAGCCAAGATTTTTCATAAGGTGATTACAATACAAAGTTTTTAAGATACCATTTAAAAAGTACGGAATGATATACAATTTAAAAAAAAATTCTTAAAACGTACGATATATAATTTTTATAATAACTTAACCTATAATCAATAATGACTTCAAAATGTTAAAATGATGATATTTTATTATATTTTCTATTTAATAGGAAAAATTTACTTAATACCTATTTGAATGGAATTTAAATCCTTACATTTAAATGTGATTCAATACGTAGAGATAATAGGTAGAACTGGAATATACTTACATACACGTTAAAAATTTATATAAAATATAATAGTTAAAGGTTTACCGCCTCTTATATCGTTAATAGGGAAAATTGAGTTATAACTATATAAGGTATAGTGCAAGTGACCGTGTATGTGGTGGACAATAACATTGTATATATACATTATTTTAGTCATCTTCTATATAGCCACGGAACGATTTATCAAAGAGAACTAGATAATCTCATAACATTCTATGAGATTGACAGTTTGGGGTTATCCCTTTATAAGTCTGAAATTGTTAGATCGCTACACTATACACTACACTATGTCATTCCTTTAGTCTTTTACTTCTGCGTTGATTTACTTCCCTCGATTATAGAACTTTAACACCCTGATGTTTTATAAAAATCTGCATTTAATTGCTTAGCAAGCTCAAAAATATAATTAAAATTGCTATGTAATTTGAAACATTCCATAAAGAAATACGATACGTACAAGTAAGAATCTATAAGTAATTACATTGAAGTTAATATAATTTTTAATATAAATTTACTAAAGGCAAAGTTATATTATGCACCTTCCATGGGAGCAAACAATGCGATATTGTTTTTATATAAATTTAGTAGAAACTAGTATTAGAGAAGTGGGCAGAAATCTTCAATGTATGTTTCCTGGTAATACTACAACTAACATACATTTTAATTTTGATTAATTTATTGATCATATCACAACGTATGACTGTGTATTACTTCAGACCTACGTATAACAACTAGCATACATTTGTTATATGGATCATATTATAACGTTTGACTTAGTGATACTTCAGTAGCATCTAATACTGGTGAAAAGTGTAGAAGTTCTACTCTATGTAGCATTTTAAACCACTTGACTACATTGGTATGTATATGGTTTCTTTAGTATAGTTAGTTAAATCACTCTCGATACGCTGTTCCATTTTAATGGTCAGGCCATTCTTCCAAACTTCATTAAATTCACTGTAATTAATCTCTCTTAAAACTCTTATATATTTAAACCATATTATATTAAAATAAAAGATATATTTTTCGGGTTTTTGATGTTTTTTTTATTACTACTTTAGCTTATATCTAAACCCTTAAAACTATGGACAAGTCTTATTTTTGATTCATATATTTACAATTTCTTTAAATGAAAAAAAATTACAAACATTGTTATTAGATACATTAGTGTGATGCTCTCTGAGTTAACATCTTATAAATATTTCAAAAGTTTTTAAATAATACTTTTCTTTATATAATGAATATAAAGCTAATGGAATAGAGTGGACAATGTGAAGTATTTGGAAATATTGTATAAGAATATATAATCAAAAAGCGTTGGATGCAAAAAAGTCATAGGCTGAAAAGTCATTCTTTAGAATGTGACAGAGATACCTTTGACGAATTAAGAACCAGGGGATTGGTTGGCGTGCCTTTAGCGACAAAATTGTAAGAGTTTAACAATTAAAATTGTTGAAGTAATGGCGAACCATTTGCACGAATGGCGTCCGCAGCCATCGTTGTACAATTAATTGCAAAAAAATCGATTAATACAAATCGAGTAATTCATTTTAAATTTGAAATTTTTCATTTTTCAATTTTTCGTCATACCCCCAATTACCTACAAAATATTGCGAGATCTTTATGTACTTAATAAGAAGAACTATAAACCCAGAGCAGCGCCGAATAACAAATTAGCCAACACTCACAAAAACTACCGAAGTAGTTTAAGTTGTAATTGGCCATTTGAAATTCATTACTACAAAAAATCTATAGAACTCCATTAAGCTCTTATAGAACACAAGAAATTAAAGGCACTTCGGTTAATAACAAGGTTTTGCCAATTTGCACACGGCACGAAGATAAAAAGAACAACAGTAACGTCACCAAGTATTGCTACTCAGTGACATAACCGTCATAATTAGTAACTATAGTGCAACATGCAAATACGGCGGGGTGAGGTTTCCCTCGGTTTTTTGTCACTTAATAGATAAAGCACAGTTGAAAAAAAAGTTGTGCGATTTTTCATAGATGCCAGTTTGTATTGCTACTCATCGGCATGACAAAAAATTTTTTTTAAAAGTACACTAAATACCAAGCGACGGGGGTTTTGAGCTACCTTAACGTATTCCTTCTCAACAGCAATTTGCAATCAGTTCAGTCATAAAAAAGATAGTAACACTCCCTAAAAAAGGCAATGTTGCAGTCCGTTGATGTTAAAACTTGCTTGTGTCACACGTAAAAAACCGCCAACCCCGCGGGATCGACGACGTAAGACATGTGTTTAGCAAATTTCTTCACCAACTGCAACCGTAACATATACACTTCTAAGAGAGCACTACCAAATCTTGTATAGATTGTACACAAAGCAAAAAACTGCAGTCGATTTCAGCCGAAAAAGTGCTCGAGTAGTACATTGTTTGGTTCATTGGTTATAAATGCGAAGCAAGCATTTATTAAATCCTGGTAACGGATTTGGATAAGAGGTTGCTGGCGATCATAGCCTGCGAGCCGCAGCTGGCGTACGCAGCCAAATCGGCGTGTGTTGGTGAACCCAAAATGTGACTTCAACCGCTAATAAAGAACTTGACTCAAATATTAGTTTCGTAAATAACAATCAAGACCATCAATACCAGCAATTACATAGCCATAATGTGCTTAGAAAACTAACAACAACACAGTAACACCGTGAAGCCGAAGTCTGGTCTATCTAAGTCCACAATGGTTTAGAAGCCACATTTTAAGAAACCACTTAGTTATTCTAGAGAGAATTCCTAGAGAAATTATTAATTAATACTTTTGTACACTACAGCCAAATATATATAATAATATAACTTAATTACAGATGATTGAGTAGACTGGAACTGGAACTGGTTCTGGTATTGACTTTTCTGAAATCGTAAAAATTTCATACGTTCTGCTGTATACCCAACCGGTCTGCATTTTTATGTTGGCGTTGTTTTTTTACTCACTTCCAGTGTCAAAAGCTTTTATACATGACGTCATCGTAAGTTGTTCTTTTTTGGAAGTCTGCTTATCTGTTGGATGACATCATGTTATTTTTTGCGTTGTGTTGTTGTTGTGCAATTATTTGTCGCCAGCATCTTTACGCTTGCGACATTCTTCAGTGGTATGACCACGATAATTACAATATGTGCAACGTTTTGTACCCTTTGCACCACGTGCTGGACCACTGTTTGTTGTTTCGTCTTCTAAGTTATTATGCTCGATAATACGCCCTTGTTCGAGTAACTCACGGAATGTCTTTACATCGTGACGTGCAATGTGTTTACGGTATTTTATATTGAGTAGACCGTAAATCAAATCGAGCTCAGTGTCTTCATCGTGACGATCTGTGGGCAATTGTGCTAATAAGGCGCGTTTGTGACATACGAAGGTATCAATGGCAGTGCTATCATCTTGTTTCTTCTCAAAGATTTCTAAATAAATTTGATATGCGGGTTTGGTGGGCGAGAAATGATCGCGTATAAGTGCCAACGCATCATGCCATTGTTTGGCTTCTTTACGTACACCTTGCCACCAAGTAGAAGCAATGCCATAGAACAGCAATGAGATACCCTTCAGTGCCTCTTCATCGGTTATACTTTCGATGTCTTTGTATGTTTCAATCGATGTGATGAACTCCTCGACAGCTTCATGATCACGTTGTCCACCGAAACGTGATTGACAATTGCTGAAACTGCCTTTGGACTTAACGGTCATTGTGGAGGCGGCAGCTGCTTTCGCTTCGGCTACCGCAGCTTCGCGTACAGCTTGGATGAGTTGCTGTAGTTGTTCATTTGTCATCGGAATCATTTGTGTCGCCATTTTGTTGGTTTATGTTTGTTTTTTTACCGTGGTTATCTAAGCACAACTAACACGCAATTATTGATTTTTTTTGTGATAAAATTACTTTAAAAGTTTTATATTTCTAATTAATTAAACTTTGATGTATGATTTCACAGCGTACAAAGCCAGAGTGGCGAATGTTGCCGCGTTATTCAATATGTAACGTCGAGTTCTCGTCTGAGACTAAATTTTCTATGCCGGCAAACGCCTTTTATATCAAAATTTTATTGAGAATAATTGTGAAATGATTTCCCATACAAAGAGAAAAAGCTTTTTATTATTGTATAAAAAATACATATTATTTTTTTAGCACTACCTCTCAACTCTTACTACCGCTTTCAGTTTGGCCACGACGCCATTGTGATTCATTAGCCCAAACAGTCTTGTTGTCATACACTCAGCTCTATAGATCATCGGAATGCATATGCATGAGTATATAAATTTTATTTATTACACATTTTATTATTGCTCCCTTAAAATTCATACAATTTTCGAATTTGTAGTGTCAATAAGTATTCGGTATGGATATAGTGTTTTTTTATTCTTATAAACAACAGACAACAAACACAATTTCCAAGAATTGCCGGCTATTTTCAAGCTATTATGAAATTGCTATACCACGATATTGCATACATAACACGTATACAATATTATAATGTGTACCAATATAAACTATACAATAATATAATATATATATTATACATATTATAAAAATTTAAAAAAATATATACCTAATTCCCATACTAATCTTGCTCTTATACATCAAATATGGTCTTTATGGTCTATAAGTATTCAACTTTTACCTATCATTTACCACATATTTATATTTTAGCAATATTTCAAGTGTTCCTGATAGGATTTACCAATATTAGAAAGGTTATCTTCAAATTTAATTATCTTAAAACATATATTTAGGTAGATAAGATAAATAAATTGATGTCTGTATGTATGTATATTTGCGAGTAAAATGAAAGGTATAGTAAAGTAAGTGATTAATAAAAAGCCAAAGTTAGGTTACTAAAAACGTAATATTTTTAAAAGACTTACTGATTTTAAATACTGGACATTGTACTAGACTCATAGAACACCTCCCATTCCTGTCACCTACTTTTCTTGTATAAACTCTCACCCCCAATCACTGGTATAGAGTTTAACCAATTGCCTTCCAGGACAGTGTTGGAAATTTTCTCCTTTAATTCTTTTTTAATTTCGCCTTTAATTCCTTAGTTGGATCCTTATCCTTAAGTTGGATAAGGTCTCATTATTGCTGTCAATACTTTTCGCAAAAAAAATCCATGGTAAAATAAAAACATATGGATTACGTTAGATTAGGTTATATCTGCGATTTCTACGTGATCCACTGAGGTAAGAATGTTTAGCGAAGCTTAGAATGTTTAGTGGGAAGTCTTGTAATTGATCAAGATCCTCAACGAGGGGTGTCCCTAAAGAGTTGAGTCGCCACTGCGCAAGAGTTGGGCAAAAACAAATAAAGAAAATTAATTTATTTTTGAAAGAGAAATCACAAAAGCGAATCACACATGGAACGATATATGCAGAGAAGCACCTAACATAGTGTGGTTTAAGAGAATCGTTGTGACCCTATACCCTACTAGGGGAAACGGATACTAAGAAGAATTTATCTTTAACAAATCAAAGTTAAGTTCAGAAGCATTACTGCTTATTAAAGGTACATTGACTTTATAGGTGATTAGTACTAAATCATTAAAACAGAAATATCATGAAACGTAAGCAGCACCTATAAACCCAACTATTCTTATACATCAGATAAAGTCAATTTGGACTATAGCCATCACACTTAGTGGACAGAATTATTAAGCTTTTACCTATCACGTATTAATTATTTTTATATTATTAATACTACAGGTGTTTTCAGGTGTATGGAGCTTTAGAGAATTTCTAATCACTTTTTTGTTAAGTGAATACATGTAGGTACATAAATATATATGTAGATAAAGTTAACATTCATGAACTCGTACACATATATATACAGGGTGACATGTATTAAAGCTGTATAAATTTAGTTTTATTTTTACACTAACTATTATCGAAGGTCATTAATACACTTTTGTATAGATTTTGTATAAAAAATTACATATTTTGCTGCACTGCAAATCTTTGCGGCTATGTCTAAATGGACTTTTGTCTGTGTTTATTATTGATATTGTTAGATCCTTAACTGAATCACAAAGTTCGATTTAAACTAAAAACTATTGTGTTGCTCAACTTTAGCTAGAAATGTCGGCTGGTAGTGGTAATAGATGTTGATATGATTTAAGTGTTTTATAAAGAACTTCTAGGAAAGCAGTGAAAAGTCTTATGTTACTGTTACATTTTTGTTACAAATATTGGCACATCCCATTCAGATTAAATTACAGATAAAAGATTATATAAATCCCGTAAAAGCTTATAACATCAAGTTTGGATGTTATATTTTACCACTAAATACATTTTAACTTTATTACAAACATCTATTTGAGTAAATCCTACATTTTCTCAACCATTTCTGAAGAACCATTCTTCCATACGATTTCTTTGTTTATGGGATCTTAAAATCATTTCGTACTTTTAATCGGTTGAATACCCTGTATATGTATGGAAGGTATGTGAGGTTTATGGTATGTCCATAAATGTATTAACAATTTATTAGTTATTTTTGAAACCTTACGTTAAAATTTATTCATATATTATACTACAAGCAATATTTCTATTATCATCTTCCAGAAATAATGATAAGCATATAATCATAAAATGGAATCGGGTGATAATGGAATGTATATGTACAACATTTTATATTAGGTTAGGCGGTTTTGTCGATGAAATAGTTTAATATAAAACAAAAAACATATATACATATATACATATATTTTTATATGTTTATTATCCATATTTACTCATAGAATCAATTTTTTATCAGTTTCTAGGGGGTTTTCTTATTAATTGATTGATTTGACATTTTTATACTCCTTAAAGTAGATTTAGTAGTACAGCTTAGGGAAGAAATGCGGAAATGTAAAGCCCTTGCAAATTAAAGTCTTTGAAATTATAAAACTTTTAGAAATGTATAATAGCTTTATCCCCACTTGTAATAGTTTTAGGGTTATAGTCGACATTAAACATGTCATAAATTTGTTTTAGTGATCATTAAAGTTATGTCATGGTTTACTCTTTGTCAGATGGAGCCTATTGTAACTAGTTGATTACGTTATAATCAGGAATTCCTTGACGGAAAAATTCCAGTCTTCATGTGAACAAAACACTTTAAAATAGTGGGTCTGAAGGTAACACAATAAACACTGTGTTTATTGTAATATTGTTTATTGAACGCTATGTATGACATGGTCTGCTTACCATCATATAAGAACAAAGGAACTGTTTGGTCTAAATGGTTTACCGCCATCCAATACAGCTATTGTACTAGCAAAATACTGTATAAGTTTTGGTTTTGTATAAGTTCTGTTTTCTAAAAATCCGGGACTCACCAATAGATATCTATGACTTATATGTGCATATTTTTTACTCTTCTATATAATATTTCTAAAGTGTGAATTAAATTCATTGCCGTTTTATTCAAATGACTGACTTTTATTTACCTACTTATCTACATCTTAACTCTGTAATTTAAAATTAGAAAGTGAGGAAGAATACGATGAGTTCCCGATCATAAGGATATTTCCGACAACTGCAAGAAGCTGCGCTTGCAGGTTTAATCATTCGGAATACCTAAAAAATCTGGACACATTGTTGACCGAATACAAACATTTGTTGAGTTCTTTTTGTGCTGACAATTTAATAAAAGATGAGAAGACTTAATGATATTTAGACATTTGTATGTATGTCGACCGTGTGTTTTAAGAAATAATTCAGTACTTTCTCTCATGTCTCGTAAAGATATTATTAGTCTTGTGGTATATTCACGGGATATAGCTGACAAGATCCGTTTAATTATACCTGTCGCAATTATGAAGAGGACGATGATACTGTCTCATATCTGCTTTGTTGCTGTCCAGCGTAGGCGCAGCGCCGATTCACTATTTTAGGGGCTTTCTTTTTTGAGGACCTTGGCAAATGCCAGAATTTTTAAACTGAAGACCATTTCAGGATTTACCAAATGTTCAAGCTAGTTTTTAAACCTTTGAGTTTCTTATACTGGACTATACTTTGTCCCCTTAGATTCACTAAGAACCTTAATGGGTCTTTATGGTCGCCGGTATGACATATTCTAAGAATACAATAATTTGACTTGCCAGAAAATGTTTAACTAAGAACGAGTTGACTTAAATAAAGAATAATACTTGCGATAAGAAATATTTTAAAATACATTCATAACCACACATGATGATTAAAGTTTAATTAATGTATTACAAATATATTATTTATATAAATTAAATTTTTGACATACGAATAACATAGTATCAGATAATGTTTGGCGAAGAACGAGCTGAGTTAAATTAAGAATAATACTTGCGGATAAGAAATGTTGTTAAAAACCCTAATAATCATACGTGATGATTAAAGTTTTATGAGTATATTACAAAGATATTATTTAAACAAATTAAAATTTTCTTAATCCATTTTTATAGAAAGAGACAATATATATATACATACATATGTACATATGAATGAAGCTGGAAATATTCTTACTTCCATTTCACCTTATAACCATAGCTTCTGAGATTCTGGTTGCACAGTCTGTTTTCAGATTTAAGCTAGCTCACCCCTTATTTCTCTTTCAACTATCTCAATCCCTTTAATTTCATAGACATTAATTTTGCTAACAAGTTTAGAGTATTTAGTTTGCTGAATATTAACCCAGTCGTCCAGTTTTCTTTCTACCGTATTTCGATATCGGAGATCAGCTCTATATGGTCAAAATTCATTTCTATGATAATGTCATTGTAAGTTTAATTTCTATATGGAGATTTCAGAAACTAATCGATATCGATATCGGAGATCAGCTTTTATATGCTCCAATGACAGAAATCTTTTCACAATTAATTTCTAGGATGAGGTCATAGTGGGTTTAAGTTCTATATGGAGATTTCAGAAAAAAAAATACTAAAATACAAAAAAAATACTTTGTGCTGAAAATTTGTTCTGCAATATTTTAATAAAAATTTAATAACAATAACTGTTAATAAAATATTAGTATAAAGCATTTTGCTGTTTTTTTAAAAATA